CCTGGGTGGCTCAGTTGGTTAATAAGCGTCCAACTTCGGCTCAGGTCATGATCTCACGGTTCGTGGGTTCGAGCCCCGCATCAGACTCTGTGCTGACAGCTCAGAGCCTGGAGCCTACTTCAGATTCTGTGTCTCCCTCTCTCTCTGCCCCCTTCCCCGTTCATGCTCTGTCTCCCTCTGTCTCAAAAATAAATAAACATTAAAAAAAGAAAAAAAAGAAACAAAGGAGTTACAACTATGCAAATGCAAACACACTTGCATTTAAAATAGCAATGAAATGGAAAACCTTAGATTATAAAAATGATTCTCTAAGGTGGGGGGGCGGGAAGGAATAGAAATAAATAGCAGGACTTCCTTAAACATGCCTCACTTTGTAGAATTTATTTTGGTACCATAAATACTTTACAGAATTGCAAAACATTTAAATTTAAAAAGTGATTCCTAGAGATGTTTTTTTTAAGCCACTGATGATGTGATCTGTTCCATGCATGATGAAAAGAAACCTACGGTTCAAGTGTCCACCTCAGGTGTTTACCATCCAGCTGGAGACAGAGAATCACATTCAGGTTACAGTAGGTGTGCGAAGTTTGAGGGTTCCACAATGTGATAGCAAGCATAAAGGAGGAGCAGATGAAGTTTAAAAAAAAAATGTCGGGGCGCCTGGGTGGCGCAGTCGGTTGAGTGTCCGACTTCAACCAGGTCACGATCTCGCGGTCCCTGAGTTCAAGCCCCGCGTCGGGCTCTGGGCTGATGGCTCAGAGCCTGGAGCCTGTTTCCGATTCTGTGTCTCCCTCTCTCTCTGCCCCTCCCCCATTCATGCTCTGTCTCTCTCTGTCCCAAAAATAAATAAACGTTGAAAAAAAAAATTAAAAAAAAAAAATGTCAAAGCAAACATAAGAGAGGAGGAGCCATCTGGGCTGGAACTTCGAGAACAAGAAATTGCTGAGTTGATAGGGGAGAATGAACTTCTAAGGAGGTGTAACAGCACAATCAAAGGTATGGAATTAGTATTGTTTACACTGTAACTTAATAACCTTAACACAAGTCTATGTGAACTCTTAGAGAATGATGAGTGCCTCGTGGGTTCCTGGAGAAGAAAAATCAACATAATAATTACAAAGCATTCAGCAGACCATCTGGCACACAGCAAACACTCACAAATAGTATCTCCCTGTAGTATCTCATTTTTCACTGTAAGTACGTGAATCCTAAATACATAATGATTGTTTTGGACACTAATTTCTTTGATGCTTTGAGTATGTGCAAAAATCTTGCCTTTCAATATAGCGTATTTAAATGCCTGCAGGACAAACAAGTCTTATCTGTTTATATCCTCTTTAAGCACAAAGACTTGAATTTGAATTATTGAAAGAGCACAAGAAAAAGATGCTTTAAATAAAAACTCCAATGTAATGCAGAATCCATTGCATATGTTGGCCAATCAAAAGATAGCTCAAACCCCCTCACTTTTAGCATATGTGGAGAAGATTCCTGAAGGAAAAAATTCATTTCTGAAAATGGTTCTTTCATCAAAAAGGAAAGGGTGAAAGCTTAGTCTTGAGGTAGAATCATCACATGAGATTGGAATGTCTTTTGTGACACCCAGACTCTCCAATCAACCAGGAAACACAGTCCAGCCCTCCCCATCCATTGTACATAAGCATCCTCAGTGATGAGTCTTTCCTCCTATTTCCTTATCAGTACTCCACCTGACAATGGCATGCATTTTCCCACTTCGACCAGAGAGAGAGAGAGAGAGAGAGAAAGACAGGACAGACAGAGAGACAGACTTGGCATTGTGATAGCCATCCTCAAAATAAGACATGGGAAAAAAAGAATTAAATCCATGAGCACATTTTGAAGATAGCTATCACAATGTCAAGTCTCTCCCCTCCCCACCCCATCTTTTTTTTTTCTTTTTGTCAAAGTGGAAAAAATGCATGCCACTGTCAGGTGGAGTACTGGTAAGGAAATAGGAGGAAAAACTCATCATTGGGTGAAACAGGCCATGGCGATTAAGAGTGCACTTGTGATGAGCGCTGGGTGATGCACAGAACTGCTAAATCACTATATTGTACAACTGAAACTAATATGTTAACTATACTGGAATTAAAATAATAAAACAAAATATGACTGTGGAGTCGCACATGAAAACAGGACACGGAAAAACTCAGTAACAGAATATCATTATGAAAGTTCCAACTTCGAAGACACATTAGGAAAAAAATGCAAAAGTGGTTTCATGTGGCTTAACAAGATTCAATGAATCACAACACTGCAGAAAAAGAGAAATGATGCTTTTCTTAGATATCAGCATATTTAACCTGATAAACATAATTATTAACTTACTAATTGATTTCCTGGTAGGAAAAACAAGAGTGTTGCTCATGGTAATGTCAGCTACTCAGCAGGGTATAAAAGGGGACAGAGGTAAGTAGACATTCAAACTCAAGAAACCACCCTTGTGGAAACCCACTCATACCTACTGGTGAAACCCCAATCCTTCCTCTGACACCATGGTCAGCTCCTGTTGTGGCTCCGTCTGCTCTGACCAGGGCTGTGGCTCCAGCTGCTGCCAGCCTTGCTGCCGCCCCACCTGCTGCCAGACCACCTGCTGCAGGACCACCTGCTGCCGGCCCACCTGCTGTGTGTCCAGCTGCTGCTGCCCCTCCTGCTGTGGCTCCAGCTGCTGTGGCTCCAGCTGCTGCAGGCCCAGCTGCTGCATCTCTAGCTGCTGCCGCCCCTCCTGCTGTGGTTCCAGCTGCTGTGGCTCCAGCTGCTGCAGGCCCAGCTGCTGCATCTCTAGCTGCTGCCGCCCCTCCTGCTGCCAGACCACCTGCTGCCGCCCCAGCTGCTGTGGCTCCAGCTGCTGTGGCTCCAGCTGCTGCCGCCCCTCCTGCTGCATTTCTAGCTGCTGCCGCCCCTCTTGCTGTGGTTCCAACTGCTGTGGCTCCAGCTGCTGCCGCCCCTCCTGCTGCCCCTCCTGCTGCCTGCGCCCAGTCTGTGGCCGGGTCTCCTGCCACACCACTTGCTATCGCCCTACCTGTGTCATCTCCACCTGCCCCCGCCCCATGTGCTGTGCCTCCTCTTGCTGCTGAGCCCCCTTCTCTGTGACCACCATCTCCGCCTACCTCTGCCCCACAGATGTAGCCCTTCCTTTTCTGCTGACCATCAGGACACATGGGATGGGGCTGATGTTGCTCAACTGAGTTGGGTCTCATTGTTCCAATGAGCCTACCACCATCCCACTGACTCTGTGAGCATATTCTAACCTCAGTCCAAATTCCACTTCTGGATCTCTCCCTTTCATCCAAGTGTGAATTTTCTTACAACACCAATTGTTGTAGTGACCACTTCTCCCTAAAATATCCTTAACTTTTGGGCACCAGCTCATCAAGCTCAGGGAGCTGAAGTCTGATTTCAGTATTTCTACATTACAGATTTTTATTGTCCAAAGGATTTAATTGTCCAAGGGATTCTCTTTTATAATTCTTATTCCCTCAACTTTCCTATGTTATAACTCTATGCCAAAATAAATCACTTCTTTCCTATATGAAAAATCAGTGTGATCGTACTCTTCTTTAAGATTTTCTATGCTCTCTGGACAACCATACGGTACATACACATGTAAGACATACAACATGGCTTTGTCAGTCTTACAATCTTACAAAGTCACAGCTTCAGTTTCACTGACAGATCTCTTCAGTTCTTAGATAAGACATATTCTTGGGAATTCTTGGATAAACATCAGAGAAAAACCTTTTTGGAAAACCTGTAGGCAATTAATGCTCCCTGGGACATCTTTTCCATATTATATATCTCTGAAAGCAGTTAATAGTAATTATAAGGAGAGTGAAGTTGAATGTAGCTGGGAGCAACTGACGATTTGGGAAAACATAATGAAAGGCTGAGGGTGATAAATCAGAGATTAAAGGACAGATGTAAAAGCCAGAAGTTTCATTGGCAGCACAGAGACTGACTCTCATCTCCTGCAGTCAGAGGGCAGATAAAGCTGAAGACCAAGGCTAGGACATCACCACAGGAAAAGCAGAGCTCCAGAGGTGGTTGTTCACTCAGTCTAGGCAGTACTGCCATGGCAGGGTCAGGGCCCTAATTGGGAGAGATGGGGACCCTGAGATATGAGATGGGGACATCTGGATTGATGCATTTGAAGATCTTGAGTCCCCAAATTTCCCTGAACCCTCTCGGCTTGGAGAGGTGATCCAATTTCCTTGTTGACATTTAGTGCCACCTCCATCTTGAAGATGATGCAGAAATTTCAGTCTTGGAAGACAGCACAAGCTCCTCTCACTACCTTCTCCCACCTCATTTTGTCACAGACCAATAACTACAGTTAAGTTACACAACGCACCCAGACAATGGCCAAACCTGTTAATGGGAGACTTATATCCCAAAAGATCTGTAGGACCCAAAAACTGCTTCATAGATCGTGGTGTGCTTTTCAATCAGGAGACACATAATGTCCAGTTGTCTCCTTTTTTTTTTTTGATATAAGCAGCTACTGATGATCATTGCCTAGGACCATTATTCATTAGGCATAGCAAAATCATGATACTGCAATTCTATTATTCCTCTGCCTGCCATTTATTAGCTGGGATAATTCCATAAAAATAAACTTCCCTCGTCAACATTTGGTAGTCCTAAGGAATAGTCTGGACAGGAGAGGCAAAATAAATGCTTGATTTTTTCCCTTTATTTCCCAGTTTCCATCCTGCAAGAGTGACCAAAGAGGTTTTTTTTTTAATTGTTTTTTAAAATTTGCATTAATATGAACTCATCGATTTCAATAGACTTGATGGTGAATCAATCCATTCCAGTTTATATCCCTCTATTGATGCTCAAATAAACAACTTTGAGTTGGCCTCCAAGTCCTTTTGACATGAATCTAGTAGTCTTTGAAAATTCCTTGCTGGGGCGCCTGGGTGGCGCAGTCGGTTGAGCGTCCGACTTCAGCCAGGTCACGATCTTGCGGTCCGTGAGTTCGAGCCCCGCATCAGGCTCTGGGCTGATGGCTCAGAGCCTGGAGCCTGTTTCCGATTCTGTGTCTCCCTCTCTCTCTGCCCCTCCCCCGTTCATGCTCTGTCTCTCTCTGCCTCAAAAATAAATAAACGTTGAAAAAAAAAATTAAAAAAAATGTTAAAAAAAAAAAAAGAAAATTCCTTGCTTTTTCATATAACAGGATATTGCAGACTCGTTTATGTATTTCCTTCCCCCAACTTCTAATCAGTCATTTCTCCAAGGATCCCCAGTTCCTTTTAGGTAGAAACAGTATTTGAGACCATAAATTGAAATATGTGATGTTCATTACTACTAAATCCCTAGAAAATATATATTTAAATGATACCCAGGTCTTTAGTTTCTACTGAGAACTACAGAGCTTTTACTTAAACTCATATATCTTACTTATAAATCTCATTTCTTCTATGCAAAAGTATCAGTTCTTAGTGACACCAATGTATTTACTCATTTTCTTTATTCTATGTTTGTCCGACAGTCTCAGAATAACATTACCAACACTATACTTACTGAAATCAAACTTAAGACTTTTTCTGTTGTTTTATTTATTTTTGATCTTGGAATAATTGCTTTTTATGCCTGCATATACAGTTAGGGTCCTTTGCTATTGCCATGTTTTAATAATTTTGAGATTTAAAATTTTTAATTTTGTTTTAAAATTATGTAAAATATTGACATGAATCCAAAGTCAAACCTATAGAAAGAGTATATTCCAAAAATTTAGCTTCAATCCTCTGTTCTCCCACTTTATCTCCTCTACCTTCTCTGAGTCAACCTTAAAAAAAATTATGGTTGAGGGGTGCCTGGGTGGCTTAGTCGGTTAAGCATCTGACTCTTGATTTTGGCTCAGGTCATGATCTCACAGTTTGTAAGTTTGAGCCCCACATCAGGCTCTGTGCTGCCAGTGCAGAGCCTGCTTGGGATTTTCTCTCTCTCCCTCTCTCTCTGTTCCTCCCTTGCTTCTGCTCTCCACCCCAACCCCTCTCTCTCAAAAAATAAACTTAAATTATGGTTGATACTTCCATTATTTTTTCTTTTCTTCTCAGCTTTATTAAGGTCCAACTGACATACTAAAATCGCATTTAAGTGTACAATTTGATGTTTTGATATATATTGCTGTAATCAACACCACCATCAAGATAAAGAAGATCTATCACCCCCTCTGCATTTCCTTCCCATACTCCACCCCTAGACAACTACAGATCCAATGTCACTACAAGTTTGTTTCCATTTTCTAGAGTTTCGTGGAATCCTACCATTGTGTACTCTATTTTGCCTGGCTTCTCACACAGCATAATTATATTGAAATTCATTTTGTTATGTGTATCACTAGTTCATTTCTTTTTATGACTGAGAGGTCTTTCCTTGTATGGAGACACCACATTTGTTTATCCATTCACCTGTGGATGGACAGTTCGGTTGTTCCTAGATTTTTTTATCTTAAAAAATAAAGTCTCCATGAACATTTGTGAACAAGCCTTTGAATGGACATATCATTTTAACTTTATTTTTTTAATTTTAATTCCAGTGCAGTTAATATGCAGTGTTATATTAGTTTCAAGTATACAATACAGTGATTCAACAGTTTCCATCAAGATAAGTATACTCTTAATCCCTGCACTATTTCACCCATCCCCCCCACCCACCTCCCTTCTGTTCTCTATAATGAAGAGTCTGTTTTTTGGTTTGTCTCTTTTTATTTTCCCTTTGTTCATATGATTTTACTTCTCTCGGGTAAGTACTTTGAGGTGGAATGGCAAGGTCATATAGTAGGTGTATCTTTAACTCTTTGAAAAACTGTCAAACTGTTTTACAAAGTGACTGTGCCATTTTATATCCCTTCCTTGTGTGAGAATTCCAATGGCTTCATGCTATCACCAACAACTTGGTAAGGTCAGTCTTGTTAATGTCAACCATTCTAGAGTGTGTACGGTATTCTCACTGTAGTTTTAATGTGAACCTTCTTAATGATTACTCCTTTCATGGGTTGACTTTCCATCTACATATTTTCTTTGGTGAATGCCTATTCAAATATTTGCCCATTTTTTTGTTGGGTTATCTTATCATTGAGTAGTCAAGAGTTCTTTATATGTTCTATATACAAATCCTTTGTGGGATATATGCTTTAAGTATTTTCTCCAGTGTGTGGCTTACCTTTTAATTTCCTAAATAGTATTTTTAAAGTTTTTATTTTCATTCCAATTAGTTAACACACAGTGTTATATTAATTTCAGGTGCACAATATACAATTCAGCAATTCCATACATCACCCTGTGCTCATCACAAGTGCACTCCTTATTTTGCCTATCTTCCCTCCCCCCATCCCCTCTAGTAACTATCAGTTTATTCTCTATAGTTAAGAGTCTGTTTCTAGACTTGTCTCTTTTTTTTCCTTCTGCTTATTTGTTTTGTTTCTTAAGTTCCACATATGAGTGAAATCATATGGTATTTGTCTTTCTCTGACTGATTTATTTAGCTTAGCATAATACTCTCTACCTCCATCCTTGTCCTTGCAAATGGCAAGATTTCATCCCTTTTTATGGCTGAATAATATTCCATTATATATACATACCACATTAATATTAAAAAATTAATGTAATATAAGCAAATACATTTTATTTTTTTAATTTTTTAATGTTTATTTATTGTTGAGAGATAGAGCACAAGCAGGGGAGGGGCAGAGAAAGGGAGACACAGAATCTGAAGCAGACTCTAGGCTCTGAACTGTCAGCACAGAGCCCAATGCGGGGCCTGAAACCCACAAACCACGAAATCATGACCTGAACCAAAGTCAGATGCTTAACTGACTGAGCCACCCAGCAGCCCCAGCAAATACATGTTCTATATGTGTTCTCTTATTTTTTTAGACACATTGTAGTGTCTACAGACACTGTAGACCCTTCTCTCCGTCTACTTTGTCATCTCAACAATATATCCTGCAGATTACTTCACAGTAGCATAGCGATATCCCTTATTCCTTTATAAAGCTGAACAGTGCTCCATTATGGGGATACACCATAGCTTAATCACCACTACCTACTGAAGGACACCCAGGTTGTGTCTAGTTCTTATTGCTGTTGTTTTGTTTTTACAAATAGCACTGCTATGAATAATCTTGCCTAACATCTTTTCATAGTTTTGCCAGAGTACGTTTTGAATAATTTATACAATTAGGATAACTGAGTCAAAGAATAATGCCACTAATTATCGCCAAATCTTACTAAAAAACGTATGAGCATGGCAATTTCCACATAATCTCTAGATACTTGAGAGTGTTGTCAATGTTTGAATTTTTGACACTCTCACAGGTGAGAAGTGGCATCCTGTATAACTTCCTTTCTATTCTTAAGCATGAGACTGGACATCTTTTTATGATAAAGAAAGATCTTCATCTTATTTTTCCATCAGGTTTTTGCCTTTTCTCTAATCGAATTTTACAAGTACTTCATATAGTAAGGTCACTTACTCTGGTATAAATTACAAGTATTTTTTTCTCATTCAGTCATTTGTCTTTTGACTTTGTTTCTGGTAAGATTTTAAAATACATTTTCTTGTTTTTACAAATGATTATCTTTCCACTATTAGAACTTAACTAAAAAATATTAAATTATGAGTCCTCTTTAACAATGAAGTCTCCTGTTACCTCTATTGCTCATTTTTGTTTTTGTTTGTTTGTTTAGGTTTTATTTTTTTAATATACTTTATTGTCAAACTGACTTACATATAACACCCAGTGCTCATCCTAACAAGTGCCCTCCTCTATTGCCCATTTTGTAAGTGCTCCTGGTTGACTCTCTTTGAAATGCTATTGCATCACCATCTTGTTTACTGCTCCCACTGCCACCAACCTAGACAGGCATTCATCTCTCATCCCTATCGTGCAACCACCACTTGAATTTTCTTCCTGCTTCCCATCACTCTACCCACTCACTGCCAAATAATATTTTTAAAGCCTAGATATTTGCTCACACCTTTCTCCCAATAGTGTGATGATACAATATCTACTTACTTTGTAGAAATTCAGGAATATCTTTGCATTCTCCTCATTGTAGCAGTATTCTTTTTCTTTACCTTCCTATACATACCATCCAAACAAGTCATTTAGTCCATCAGTCAAAAATAAACCCCTGTTCAATCAGATCCCCACTGTCTGAATGCTCTTTTTTCTTTTCTCTATCCATCTAGATTATCTATAGCATGATAAAGGGCGAATAAATGCCCTATGTTTTCAATTAACCCCACATTCACGCAACTAACATTCAGTGAGGGCAATTGCTAGGCACCATGTTTATGTATGTGAATAAGACATTCTCTGACATCATGGGGTATATAGAAGGATTGGGGGAAAAGAGATATAAACCAATTATGCTAGAGTGTGATACCCTAGATCACAAGTATATTGGAGGAAAAGGGAATGAATGATTAGTTTTGAATGTGATAGATGTCAAGAAAGATATTAGAGATGAGCTGGCATCTGGACTAGACATTTATGTATGAGCAAAAGTTTGCTGAAATGACAAGGGAGAAAGCACATTTACACAAATGAAACAGTATGAGAAATGACATGGGATTATTATTCCTCATACCTCTTTGTACATGCTAGAAGAGAACCCTACTGACTGTATGATATCACTCTATCTAAACCTCAATTACTTCATGTCTAAAGAATTAAGAAAAATTGTGTCCACCTCCTAGAGTCCTTCTGAAGTATAAACAAGAGAACAATTACACAAGACTCAGAAAATTCCTGACACATAGTAGGCACTCAAAAATAGTAACCATTAGTATTATCTCGCATTTCATACATGTACAAATTTAAATACATAATTTTTATTTATCATACAATGTTCTACATGCTTGCCAAACCCCTACATAATGTGTCTTGTTTGTCTTATTCAAGTGCCGATAGGACACAGATTAAAGCTTAACCCCTGAGATCTCATTTGTATCAAGAAAAACACCTCAAACATATTTCTGAGAGATAAAAAAATCTCAGAATACAAGAAAATATTCAATTATACGTATTCTGTTGAGTATGCTTAACCATCAAAATGAGAGGAAAAATACACCCTTATGATACCCTGTCTCTGAAGAACATGTCAATAATAATTTAATAATTTTTAAAAGGACCCATTCATGCCAATGGATTTTTTACTATTTGTAAGTAGTGAAACACTGCATTAGAACTTTCAATTGAATAGATTCAGTAAGACAAAAGAGATAGAAACGTTGTTAGGATCCTTTATACCTCAATGACTATCCATAAAATCCAAACGAATCAGTATTTCCCGCTGCACACTAGGGACTTCCCCCCCCCCCCCCCGATGCCTCTTTCATGTTATTTTCCTACCAGCATTTCATATGACTTGTTGTTAACCTCTTTGACAGCAGATTTAGTCACCATAATATCCATTCTCAACATATTATCCTGGAGTTAAGTACATAAATGAAGAATTAACACTTGTGACATTCAATGAAACAATGTCATGGGACAGGTCTACTTTGGAAGACACATCAGACAAGGGAAGACATATGGGAGCTGATTCACTTGATTTTAACCAAATCAGATAGCTCACAATACAACAGGAGAAGGAAGTGGAGCCCTTTTCTATATATAGGAATATTCACCAGATAAACATAATTATCTAATTTACTAAAACTAACTGATTTTCTATTAAGATAAACAACAAGAAGAGTCCTGCACATGGTCATAGTAACCCTCAGCAGGGTATAAAAGGGGACAGAGGTAAGGAGACATTCAAACTCAAGAAACCACCCTTGTGGAAACCCACTCATACCTACTGGTGAAACCCCAATCCTTCCTCTGACACCATGGTCAGCTCCTGTTGTGGCTCCGTCTGCTCTGACCAGGGCTGTGGCTCCAGCTGCTGCCAGCCTTGCTGCCGCCCCACCTGCTGCCAGACCACCTGCTGCAGGACCACCTGCTGCCGCCCCAGCTGCTGTGTGTCCAGCTGCTGCCGCCCCTCCTGCTGTGGCTCCAGCTGCTGCCGCCCCTCCTGCTGCATTTCTAGCTGCTGCCGTCCCTCTTGCTGCCGCCCCAGCTGCTGTGGCTCCAGCTGCTGTGGCTCCAGCTGCTGCCGCCCCTCCTGCTGCATTTCTAGCTGCTGCCGCCCCTCTTGCTGTGGTTCCAACTGCTGTGGCTCCAGCTGCTGTGGCTCCAGCTGCTGCCGCCCCTCCTGCTGCCCCTCCTGCTGCCTGCGCCCAGTCTGTGGCCAGGTCTCCTGCCACACCACTTGCTATCGCCCCACCTGTGTCATCTCCACCTGCCCCCGCCCCATGTGCTGTGCCTCCTCTTGCTGCTGAGCCCCCTGCCCTGTGACCACTATCTCCATTCACTTCTGCCCCCTCAGATATAGACTCTTTGGTGCTGTTGGACACATGGAATCTGACTGACATCATTCAACAGGTTGAGCCTCACCATTCTAATGAACCTACCAACGTGCCACTGGCTCTGCGAGCACATTCTGGTTCATGTTAAGCTCCTTCCATGACTATCTTTTCCTTTCAATATTGGCATCAAATATGGATATTAATATGTGATCCATCAGCTTAAAAAAATCCCACTCCTCTAAATTTCTCATTCTTCCTTATCATTTTAGGGCTCTAGATTACCCTTCCTAACAAAGTGAATATTATCTGCAACCTTTGTGCAGTACTGATTTGACACCCTCTGACCTGGGGTTCAGTTATACCCTCAGACCTAGGGATCCAGTTATATATTTTCTAACAGAGTAAATTTTTTTTTGCGTTTCGTTGCTTCTCTTTCTAATAAACTTTTCTACACATAAAAAATTTTTGGCATTGTTCCTTATTGTTTTCGTGATCATTTTACTTAGTATTAGGTAACTATATTTTACATGATGATACAGGAAGAACACTCATGTTGAAATCACTTTGAGAGTAAGTGCTATATATGTGAAATATAGATCATTTAAAATATTAGAACAAAAGTGGCACATGTGTACATGTATATGCACATGTATACATCTTAATATCCTAAATTAGGGCAGATTTCATTCATGTCTTTAGCTCTTATTTTTTAAATTTTAATTTGTTTTTTTATTGAGATATAATTGACATATAGCATCATATTAGTTTCAGGTGTACACAATAATAATTCAATATTTGTGCACTATAAGAAATGATTGCCACAGTAAGTCTAGCTACAATCTGTCACTGTATAAAGATACAAAATTTTTCTTCTTGTAACAAAAAATTTTAAGATTTACTCTCTTAGCAACTTTAAGGTGTGTGATACATTATTGACTATAGTCACCATCCTATACATTATATCCCCATGACATTTATTTTATAACTAGAAGTTTATACCTCTCGACCACTTTCACCCAGTTCACCCATCCCCTAACTCCACTCACCTCTGGCAACCACCAATCTGTTCTCTGTATCTATGAGTTTTGTTTTGTTCATTTGTTTATATTCTACGTATAAGTGAAATCATTCAGTATCTGTTTTTGACTCATTTCACGTAGCATAATACCCTCAAGACCCATCCATGTGGTTGCAAATGGCAAGATTTCATTCTTTTTTATGGCTGGGTAAAATTGTATTTATATATACATTTATATATACATTGTATATATACACCACATCTTCTTTACCCATTCATCCACTGATGGACACTTAGGTTGTTTCTGTATCTTGACTATTTTTTTTTAATTTTTTTAATGTTTATTTATTTTTGACAGAGAGAGACAAAGCATGAGTGGGGAAGGGGCAGAAAGAGAGGGAGACACAGAATCTGAAGCAGGCTCCAGGCTCTGAGTTGTCAGCCCAGACCCCAATGCAGGGCTCAAACTCACAGACCGCAAGATCATGACCTGAGCCAAAGTCAGACACTCAACCGACTGAGTCACCCAGGCACCCCTGTATCTTGGCTATTGTAAATAATGCTGCAATGAACATAGGATTGAATATATCTTTTTGAATTAATGTCTTCATTTTCTTTGGATAAATACCCAGAAGTTGAATTGCTGGATCATATGGCAGTTGTATTTTTAATTTGTTGAGAAACCTCCATACTGTTTTCCAGAGAGACTGCACCAATTTACATGCCCACCAACAATGCACAGGGTTCCCTTTCTTGACGCCGTGCTTTGGAATCACACATTGAAATTCTCACCTTCTATTACATCTCCATCCCACAACCCGCATCAATCAGTAAACCCAATGTGGAAAGAATGACAAATTTAAACATTAATAACATATTTTTAAATGAAAAGCTTAATAAAATTACATAAACACAATATGAAATGTTTAATAAAATTAATTATATAAACACAACAAAGACAAAAAAAAACTAATGAAATAGAAAAAGTCTGGTAAAACTGATCAAAGACCAAGAGAGAGAGAAAAAGGAGAATGTCTGAAAGACTGGCAAATAACATTATACTTGAAAAGGAGAATAATCAGCTTCCAAGAGAGTAGAAACTTTTAAAAACAATTAGAACATTAGAACAATTAGGGGTCCCTGGGTGGCTCAGTCAGTTAAGCGTCCGACTTCAGCTCAGGTCATGATCTCACAGATCGTGAGTTTAAGCCCCACATTGGGCTCTGTGCTTACAGCTCCAAGCCTGGAGCCTGCTTTGGATTCTGTCTCCCTCTTTCTGCCCCTCCCCCTGCTCATGCCCTATCTCTCTCTCTCTCTCTCTCAAAGATAATAAACACTAATAAAATTTTTTAAAAAAGAACATTATGCATAAATTTATACCAATATGTTTGAAAATTATGATTGAATTGACTATGTCTAGAAAAATAGATATTAATTCCAGAAGATATACAAAATATAAATAAGCCAATAACCATTAAAGAAACTATACCTATGATCCAAAATCTATCCTCTACATATATTGATATTAAAAATGCCAGACCCAGGTTGGTTTACAAGTAAGTTTACTAAACCTTAAAGTTCTCTCCCATTCAAACTGGGAGAAAGAACAGAAGAAAAGGTCTACAGCCATACCACCTTAAATGTGCCCAAACTCATCTCATCTCAGAAGCTAAGCAGAGTCAGTCCTCATTGGTACTTGGATGGGAGAACAGAAGAAAGGAAAATGTTCCCAATTCATTTTAAGTATAACAGTAACATCAGACACAGACAAGAACAAAGTGATAAAGGAAAAATTACAGGCCTATGTTATTGAAGATCATAGATGCAAAGAGCCAGTAAATATTAGTAAGTGAAATTTAGCAATATATATAAAAGGAATAACACATCACAACTAACTAGTTTGTCCTAGACATTCAAGAATGTTTCAAAATTAGAAAGTATTTAAATAAGCTTGTTGATACTAGTACATTAAAGGTAAAAAAAAACAAAAACAAAAACAAAAAAAACCCTTCAGGATTATATCAATAGCTGTGGGAAAATAATTCAGTAATATATAACAACTACATTAGTCAGGGTTCTCCAGAGAAACAGAACCAGTGGGAGACTGATGTAGATATAGACACATGTTTATATACATAAATACGCACATGCACACACAAACATAAGAGAGAGAGAGAGAGAGAGGAGGGGGAGAGGAGGGATTATAGAATCTGAGATTATATAGAATTGCAGATTACAGAATCTGAGAAGTCCTAAAATCTGCAATTGACAAACTGGAGACCCAGAAGTGCTGATAATGTAAATTCCAGTTCAAAAGCCAGCAGACTCAAGACCCAAGAAGAGCCAATGTTTCAGTTCAACTCTGAAGTCAGGAAGACTGATGTCAAGGGAGTCAGAAGGAGGAGTTCTCTTTTAATCAAAGTTGAAGGGGAAGTCAGCCTTTTTTTTTCTATTCAGATCTGTGAGGTCCACCCACACAGGAGAGGGTCATCTGCTTTATTCAGTCTACTAATTCGAAGGTTAATCTTACCCAGAAACAGTTTCACAGACACACCCAGAATGTTTGTCCAAATGTCTGAGCATACTATGGCCCAGTCAAGTTGACACATAAAACTGACCATCACAACAGCCATTTACTATTTAAAACACTCTAAGCAAAACAGGGCTAAAAGAGGACATTTTTATCCTGATGAATGCTATTTATCAAAACTTCATAGCAAAACATAATAGTTAACAAATTTTAGAAGTATTCCTAATAGAGTTTAAATAAGACAAGGATAACTGATACCACTCCTATCATTGTTGTATTTGAGATCCTACTCAATTCAATCTGATTAAGAGAAAAAGCATTACAGAAAAAAAACAAAAACAAAATTGTTGATACCTGTAGACAATACTGTTGTTAACATAGGAAATCCAAGAAAACCTACAAACGTGTGCTAAAAAGAGAGTTTAGGGAAGTCACTATATAGAGTATTGACAAACAAAAAACTCAATAACATTTTTATAACCTGAAAAGAGTCATTTAGTAATTCTAATTTAATAGAAATGAAGATTCCATTCACAAGAGCTACAAATATTATAAACTGTTTCAAAATAGGTCTAATAAAACAATGCAATATTTATGAAGAAAAGTTCAGAATATTCTTTGGAAATCTGTATATAAATAAAGAGTTAATGTCCGGTTTATTATTGGGAAGCGTTTTTTTCTTCAAGTTTTTATTTCAATTCCAATTATTTAACATACAGTGTAATATTAGTTTCAGGAGTAGAATTTAGTGATTAATCACTTCCATACATCACCCAGTGCTCATCACAAGTGCACTGCTTAATACCCATCACCCATTTAACCCATCCTCCTCCCGCCTCCCCTCCAGCAACCCTGTTTGTCTTCTATAGTTAAGAGTCTGTTTTCTGGTTTGCCTCTCTTTTTCTTTCCTCCCTATGTTCATCTGTTTTGTTTCTTAAATTCTACATAGTGAAATCATACGGTTTTTGTCTTTCTCTGATTGAGTTATTTCACTTGGCATAATACTCTCTAGCTCCATCCACATCATTGCAAACGGCAAGATTTCATTCTTTTTATGGCTTAATAATATTCCATTGTATATACACACTACATCTTCTTTATCCATTGCTCTATCAGTGGATACTTGGGCTGCTTCTACATCTTGGCTATTGTAAATAATGCTGCTATAAACGTAGGGGGTGCATGTACCCCTTTGAATTAGTGTTTTTGTAGTGCAATTGATGGATCATAGGGTAGTTCTATTTTTAACTTTTTGAGGAACCTCTACACTGTTTTCCACAGTGGCTGCACCAGTTTGCATTCCCACTAATAGTACATGAGGGTTCCTTTTTACCCACATCCTCACCAATGCCATTTGTTTCTTGTGTTGTTGATTTCAGCCATTCCAGCAGGTGTGAGGTGATATCTCATTATACTTTTGATTTG